ATATCACCAACCATTCCCATGTTATTACGGTGTATCCATATAAATGGCCCACCCTGTACATTTAAAAATGCATTGTATACTTCAGGTAGTCCATGACTACTTACAAGCCTTTAACTCTGCTCTATTGGTGATTGGCCATTAGAGGATAATCTTTTTGAAGCAGCAGATACTCTCGGTCTAGTGTTGATTCTACGTGTTATGTTTTTAATTCTGGCAGGCTATTGGCTGGGAAAACATGGCCTTCATCTTTCTCAACCACTTCCTGGATCTGTGCGATGTATGTATTGTAGAAATCTTTATTTGTGACCTTTCTGTTATGTATTCTGTGAATACCAGCAAAATCCCATTATAACACCATTACACCATCTGAAGTTTTAATGTGCAAAACAGGAAGTTTGCCAAAGAAAATTTTTATATTTTTTAAGACTTTAAAATTGAATCTTTTCATTTGTGATTGGCTGATTTTGTTGTCCAGGGCATTGACGAGGGGACTCTGGACACTCTGGACCACACCGACTTCCTAGACACCGACATTCCCTTTGAGGTTCCAGTTCCCACCAAACTCTGCGTCACAGTAAGACATCATCACCACCCACCAAACACATATCCCACCGGATGCGCTGCGGTCAGACTGATAGATGAAGACAATATTGGTGATGTGCTACAAATCAGATCTGGTGCAGTTAGTGTCACATTCCTCTGTGATATTCTTTACAAATGAGCACAGATGACAGATCGCTCCATTTAAACACCCAGTCTTAAGCTGCAGGGTCGCAGTAGCTGCAAATTAGAAAGTATCGGCAGGCAAACAGGTGGCCTGTGGGCTAAATCAGGCCCTCTTAACAAAAATCATATTTCACATTTTCCTGTTTATAGGTCACATTAAAGCTTGTTTTTATTAGTTATTTTTATTATCTTGGTTATAGCTTCTTAAATATGATGACCAAAATTTGGGGGGGGTTAAGAGTTGGGGTTAGAGAAATTGAAAAGAATAATAGTAACTATATAACAGCCCATTTAAGATTACTTTGTCCAAAAGTCTTCTTTTGTCTGAACAAGCTCAACCTATTCCTGTTTATGACACAGTCACTGAGATTCTGTGTAGGAAACTCATATCACTGCAGGCTGACATCACACAAACTGTATTTTTTTATATAAAAAATCAAACTCAACCTGACATGCAGCTCAGTTGCAATGAGCAATGTTTAGAAAAGCTGTCTGAAAACAGCGTGTGTGTTACAGGTTGCCCAGCGGGACCAGATCCGCGACTGGGTGCTTATGGTGTCCATGGACCATCGGCTCGAGCAGGTTCTGCCACATGACGAGAGGAACACATATGAAGCCTCGCTGGTGGCCGCCAACACCGGCCTTCGCTCGCTGCCCTGCGTCCTCACCGGTTAGACACACATGCACACACAGAAACACTCAAGCATGTCCAAGACTTATCAAAGTTTTGTTAAATTCAAAGATTGAAAAGAGATCACAGGGGGAAAAAACTCCAAACTGATGTGATGCAATAGAGAAAAGCAAAAAGCAAGAAGAAAAGTTTCATCATTTATTTTGTGGAAAACATGAAATAATTTAATAAAAAATGGTGTAATTACCATAAACTTGCAACATGTTCTCTGTTATTTGGAGCTTTTATAGTTTACCTGTTGTTAAACTTTCTTCTCACACCCATGATGTTTGCATACAGTGCTGACATTTACACAACATCTAATTTACTAAAAAGATAAAGTATGGTGTCATTGGGGATTTTGAATTCTAATCCACTTTGCAATGCACGAGATTTCACACACGCTTTAACATGAGCATGTTGATGTAATGAAATCTAAATTCAGGAAAGTGTAGAGCTGTTGTTTGAGGTGTTTTGGAGATTTAAGATGGATTTGTTCTCAAATAAATGTTTAATTTTCACCTCTGTGTTATTTGAAGAAGGTAATCTGTATTTAAGGGAGACGTGTTTTGCTCATTTCTATCTTCATGTTTTTACTCTTGGTCTCTACTAGTGAAGCTTTTTGTTATTCTCTTATATATCTTATACTGAACCTTAGTGCAGCTGCTCAATTCACCTTTTTTCTAGTTCCGCAACCTTAAAGCCAATGTTCTTTTGATTGGCTACCTGTCACAAACAGAAGGTTTGATCAGCATATCCTCTCTCACTGTGAACAGCACTGACATGAAACTGTGGCCTTGTGTAATATTAATCCAGCAATAAAACAGTATATATGTGACAGAGAAAGAAATGTATAATAGGTCCACTTCAAGAACCTTCATTTAAAACCTAATGGACCATTCAACGATTTTCTTTCTTGAATTTTAATATGAAATGATAGCTACTATATAATAGAACGCTATCATACACAAAACATGCTGTGGCCTTGCTGTAAGTGTTGATTCTCCAGTTTGCTGCGTGACTGTGCAGTCATACACAGCATGTAGCCTCGCTCTGTGGTGTTCCTGCTTTCAGGCTACCCCGTGCTGAGGAATAAAATCGAGTTCTCTGCTGCGGGGAAAGCAGCCAACAAGGAAGACTGGAACAAATTCCTCATGGCCACGAAGGTGAGATCAAACAGAGAAACTGTGGGTTTGTAAGCTGAAAAATTTCCGTGCATATAAAAACAACACAAATTGATCTCTCTTTCTTTCTGAATGAAAAACCTCAGGAGTGTATTTGACTCCACGGGGACTGTAATTAAATGCAGTGTCATTCAAGGTTTTGAGGAGTTTTGATTAGTTTCGAGGAACTCAAAACTCCTAAAACTTACCCAGGTTATCTGTCCTCAACTTAAAATTGGTTGAGAGAGAAAGGAACTCCCATCATGGAGCAGTACTCAAAACTTTTCTTTTCTTTCTGTTTTTTCAAAGCAAAGGCATGAAGAAAACATTTTCTTCAGGTTCAACTCTCTTTGAAACAGCGCTGAACTTTAGTGAAAATGCTAATGTTGGATTGTAATTCATTGGATTCATTATAACTAGAAAAAAAATAATGGTGCATGAGTTAGAGCTCAACACTTCTTGGCTTCTTATAACTCTAAATCATATTTTACTGTTGATAATATCATGTTTGTGTTACTTCAAGATGTTCTGCAAAAAATAGAGAAAAATAAGATTGGCTGGGCACCACCACCAGTCATTAGGCAGTTGCCGGAGCCTGCTGGATAGTTGCTAGGTAAAATCGATCACTAAGAAGGCGCTAAACCAGAGACCTATTTGAGATTGGTATGGTTGCTAGCATAGTTTGCATAGAAGACACAGAGTTATCTGCAAACGCTCGCCGTTTACTCTCCAAATTGGAAAAAGTACAGCATAAAATGGAAACAGACATGTGCCTTCAAAATAAAAGTTCTACCTTACCTGCAAGCAACATATTTTGAATGGTGCAACTTTTACTTTGAAGACGAATGTTCTTCATTTCCCATTTACATTGTGTTTTTCCCAGTTTCACTAACACTTGGCAGGTAAATACTGATTACTGATATAATACAAGTCAACATGGCAACCAGCTAACAACCAAAGCAATTTGAAAGAGAATTTCAGTGCAGCACCATATACATCTTTGTGACTAGTTACGTGATAGTGACTGTCAGCAACCACTCACCAATTGGTCGCAGAATACATACTTTATCATAGCAATCAGTGGTTACTTGGGGCCAAGGCCACCAGCTAAAGACCAGGTCTGGGTGAATGGGGCTTTAGCGATTGAGTTCACTTAGCAACTTCTAGCAACTACTCATTAACTGACTTGGGAATACACATTTTTCCCCTGCGACTGGTGGTTCACAACTGGCAAAGCATGAAACTGAGGCCTAACCTTTCTGAGTCTTACAATACTGAATTAGTTCATCACATTGAGAGAAATGAAAACAGTGGTGCTTATTTGAGTTTGAATCAGCAGATGAATATACATAGCATCCTTACCTCCCTTCTCACGTGTGTTTCCTGATGGGTTGTTGTTTGTGTTTCTCTCCTTCACCTCCCCACAGACCACTCACAGTCCAGAGTGTCAGGACGTCCTCGAGTTCATCAGGCAGTGGTGTGGCGGTCTGCCGGCGTCTGGATTCTCCTTCCGCTGATAGAACGACCTGCAGCTCTGCCCTGTGCCTTTTTTTTTTTATTACGCTGTTACACACTTTGAAACACCTGCTCTTCCTTCTATTCTTCCTCATCTTTTCTTTCCGCAAATTCAAACATTTCACAGGAAACCATCTATTTTATTGTCCCCAGAACTTCCTACTTACTTTCTAAGCCCAGAGGAGAATACACAATCCCTTCATTTCAGTTTAAACCAGTTCATGATTTTCTTCTTTAAAAGGCACCTTAAAAGTATAGTTAAACTGTAAAATGTTATGTGTTACATGTTATAAGTTAAACTGTAAATTGGTAAAATGATAATAAAAGTACATATACATGACTTTGAACCTTAACAATTGACAATTTAAGAATTCAAGAAATATATTTAGTGCTTTTTTCTGATTCATAGTAAACATCAGAAAATTGAAATGACTGAGAAATGTAGCACTTTGATCCGATTTTGCAGTTTCTGCTAGTTTCTGGTCATTAGAGTAAGATACTAGGCTGACAAGAGTCAATAAGCATTTTTATAACATTACTAGTCTTAGAATTTGACCACTGTCAGAGCAAAAGCACAAGATAAAAACTCGTAAGTATTTATTAGAATTCAGGTTCACATATTTCTGAAGCAACCTCAAAAATTATCAGTAAGGAGCTCGAAATGCTTCATAAAACAGTTAACAACAAAAAAATAGACAGTGCTCTTCTTTGAAGCCTCAAAACACAGAAGAAAAAACAAAAACCTGTTCATATGCTCAGTGTGTGTTGGCCCCAACCACAAGCCCTTTTAGTTCCTGACCAAAAACACACAAAAAGTGATTTCCTGAAACAGCTCTTGTGCTGTAGTTTAAGTTAAAAATGAATAAACTTTGTTGGGGAATAATTTCAGCGGCGGATTAATCCTTGTTTGGTGCTCTACTGAGAGCAGTGCAGAATCAAAACAAACTCAACATCAGAACTCTAAAGCACCAAGGAATACAATGCATCGGGATGAAGTGATGCTGTTTGCTTTTGTTTTTTCCAAGATGTTTCATTTTTGTTATTTATTTTATCCTCTGACTGGTCAGTTTATCCCAAGGTGCAGTCACCATGGAAACACATATCATCCATCTAGTTGTTTCTATGTATTTTCTCATCATCAGAAGGACTTTGTCTCAGGTTTCCGTCTGTGAAGACTTTCCTCTGCAGCAGATATTACAATACTTAATAACCTGACACTATGATGCTGTGGTGGCGGTTTAGGATTGTTTAATGTCTGCAGACTAAATTGAGTTCTTTTCTCTGTGAATGTTTTTCAGAGGCCAGTAATGTTTGGCAAAGCTTTTACTGAGTGTTCAATATGGAATATACTTTGTTTAATAAAGTTGCAATATAAAAATGTTCAGTGGTTTCTAAGCATTCATCATATCCTGCTTCGTGCTTCTTTGTGACTGTAATGAGTGGAACCACATTCAGCTTTATGTTAAGCCATTAAGATGTAAATTTACCCATTTTAGCATTTTAGAAAGAAACAAACAGCTCATCATCTGAAGCATAGTTGATGTTGATTTATTTAGATGTAAAAGCCACTGTGGTGGTGTGCAGAGGCAAAACTAGAAAATATATGTCATTGCCCAAAACCTAACCAAGCTAACTAGCTTTAGCTGATAACTTGGTACTCCACCATCATCCAAATATGGATATTTTGACCGTATCTGACCGCAATACTAAAGGCTTTAAAATACTAGTCCACAAACCAATAGGTCATTATCCTCTCTGTTGGAATCTAACAGGTATTATTTAGTAATATTGTTTCAGGTAGTATCTTTAATAGGCGTTTATCACTTGTGCCTATAACTGGGAACAGGGCCTCAGTGGAGGTACATGAGTTGGAGTATATGAGACTGTCGAGATCAGAGAAACTCAGCACCCCTGTGTCACAGTCCAAACAAACTCTGATCCTCTTGATCCTATTCCTCACTGAAAGAACAGAGGCTGAATTTGATGGTGAGGATGCTTTGTATTTACCTTTACAAAACTCCATTGTCCATAACCCAGAGTGCGAGCCTAAATGTCCTTTCCTTTGGACTGACTCTGGTGCCACGCCCAGTATCCAGTGTGAACTGTGTCCAAGTTCAACTTCCCAGCTGTGAAGCCCTGAGTTAAATCCCTGAGAGCCGAGGGTGATGCAGAAGCTGTCAAATCTCTCCGGGTTGTTGGGACACTCTACTGTCCGTCCCTGTTTAACACTGCTCAGATCTTCAGACAGGTTGGGTCTTGGATGGGCAGTGTTTGGATCCAGAATCACAGGAGTATACGAGCTGGCCTCAGCCATCTTGTTCAAGATGTTGAAGGTCAGATTGCCCAGGTGTTTGGCCTCGTCCAGCAAAACTCCTAGAAGAAGCTCTGGATCACCCATCAGGGGATGCTCCTGGACCTGTTCTGCTGTAGCCTTGTAGTTGTTTAAGAAGAAGGTGTCTTCAGCTCTCAGCTCTTCCTCTGTCGCTCTGATAATTTGCGAAAGAGCTGCTATCTCTCTTCTCAGAACGTCCATCTTCTCCTTCAGCACCTCACGCTTCCGCCTTTCTTCTGCACTCACAGCAGCGATCCTGGCCTTCTCTTCCTCTTCTAGAAACTTGTGAAGCCTCTTGAACTGCTTCTTAATCTGCTTCTTTGTGTCTTGAGCCTGGACTTTAACATGTTCTGTTGTTTGGGTGTAGTTTCCTTTAGTTTGTTTCAAGAGCTTCAGCTTCTCCTGTAAAGGCCTCAGGTGTTTTTGAAGCTCGTCTCTGTGATCACGTGCAGCTTCATCAACGGGTCTGAACTTGTGATCCGCGTGATTTTCGGAGTCTCTGCAGATTAAGCACACTGGTTCCTGGTGGTCCAAACAGAAAAGTTTGAGTTTCTCTGAGTGCAGGCGGCACAAAGCCTCAGACTTCTGATCACTCTCCAGTAAAAAGACCTCACACAGATTCTTCAGTGCCAAGTTGCAAGGTGGGTGTTTCTTCCCAGATATGCGCTCACAAACAGGACACTCGAGTGCTTCTTTCCTTCTCCACCATCTCCAGAGGCAGACTTTACAGAAGCTGTGGCTACAGGAAAGAAGAACTGGATCTTTAAAGATATCACAGCACACGGGACAGTGGAGGTTGGCCTCTGATCCGGAGGCCATTTTCTCTCTGAGTGAAGCCAAAAACACAACAAGCAGGTTGCCAAAAGTGTTTCGCTTAATTCTATAGCAATACTTCCCGTCGGGATTTCACTCGGGCTGCAGTATTCCAGTTTGGCTCCCTGTACCACCACCCCGCTCAGATGCAGGTTATGTCTGGTGCGTCTCCTTCCAGTGGAAACATAATAACTTGAGTGAGTCAGAGAATGGGAGGTGCTTTCTCAGTGGTTTTCCTCTAAATGCTCAGCTGTAATAAACCAGGGGTGTATTTCATTCCTCTGTGTTAGCGTAATTGGTTTGATGGATACTGCCATTTTCCTTCAGGGCACGCTGACTCATGCTGGCAGACTGATCTTGGATCTCTTTGCCAATCAGAAACTAAATACATTAAGCTCAAGAGTGTGTTTTTAGTGTTTTAAAGGTTAACGCCACCGGTTACATATCATGAGGAGTAGAAAGGTTTTTTGAACCAGGGGTTTGATTTAGTTTAAGAAGAAATAAAATATAATTTTATTTCTTTTAAATGCTCAGTGTAGCACTATCCACTAACTATAATGCTAAATGCTAATTCTGTAGTACAAAATCTATATGTGCAGACATAGTTGGGAAATTTATTTCAATTTTAATTCCATTTCAATGCACTTCAGTTTAAAACCACAACAAACGTAACAGTCAGACGGTCAGAATTTAGTGTGAACAGCATGAAAACATGGATCCATCCTACCTACCTCGGATTAAAGGTTCAGGATGCTGGTGGTGGTGTAAGGATGTGTGGAATATTTTCTCGGGGCTTGTTACCAATAAAGCATTATTTAAATGCAACAGCTTATTGCTGTATATTATTGCTGACCATGCCCATCCTTTTATAACCATAGTGTGAAGCAGGCCTACAGGACTGTGGTGCACTGACAAGAATAGTAAAATATTCATAGAAGTTGCACAAAAATTTGAAGATTACAGTTTTGAAAATACAACCGTGAGCATTTTATCCTGCACTTATTGCAATACATTATCAGCTAACTGTCAGGCTTAATTAGCAAGCTGTCTTCATATACCATATGGATGCACAGACACACATATCTGCTAATTAGCGCCAAGTAACAGTCTAATAAAACACTCAAATTTCATTTTTTTATAAGCTTCTAAACATGTTTTTTGATGCTGTAAAGTTAACCATTTTAACACAAGAGTCTGTGGAGACTGCTTATTTTTGGAGCCAACCTTAAGTGGCCGCTAGACAAATTGCAGTTTTTGCCATTTTGCACGCAAGGAAGGCAACTGAGACTAAGAGAACAAAAACTAGAAACAGTGGCAACACAAAGAGTACTAAATAGAGACCACTGCAGTCAGACAGTGAACAAAAAGAAACTGTGGAGTACATACAAACAGTTGAGCACCTGGATGATTGACACCAGTTGGGAAAAGTTCAGGGATTACAAAACAGACGAGGAAATGACAGAAACGGTTTTAGACCTTATATTTTACTGCACTCTTCTTCTGAAGTTAGTTATTTCTTATATAAACACTCTTTTTCATAATTTTGAAACATTGCAGCAGAAATATGAATTTCCTTATGTTTGAGCATGCACCAAGAAATCCCAAATCCAAATGACTTCTTCAGCCTTAATGACTGCAGGTTTGCCCAACCTTACAAACAGTACATGTGTATAATGACTGAAACTAGCACCATTGATGAACAATGGGCTGTGAGGTGAGTTTTTTGATCATTAATATTCAAACTGTCATTACCATTGATCAACAACCACTGATCAATCACAATTGATCAATGAGTACCATTCACAGAGAGTTGGGGAATGGCTGCAATCACAGCATTTTAAGATGGTGAAAGATGTACACTTAGGCCCCCTCCTCGATTCAGAGACGGTCTTTCCCTTTTCATGTAAATGGCCTCCCTGACTGCCCGCTCAAAACAGCGTTCCTCCCTGTCCAGGATCAGCAGAACCAACTTTCTGGGACTTCAAATTTAGGTTTCATGAGTTCCAGCTGAGTTCAGTCTGGAAATCCAAGCTTGGTGTTAAACCTTTAACAACAAACTAATAAATCCTAGCACAATATGCAAATACAGATGTACAGTATACAGATGTTTTACCATGATGTCATACCATGATTATAAAGCCCTTATATAGTGGGATGAAAAAGTTTGGGCAACCTTGTTAATAGTCATTATTTTCCTGTATAAATCATTGGTTGTTACAATAAAAAATGTCAGTTAAATATATCATATAGGAGACACACAGTGATATTTGAGAAGTGAAATGAAGTTTATTGAATTTACAGAAAGTGTGCAATAATTGTTTAAACAAAATCAGGCAGGTGCATAAATTTGGGCACCACAAAAAAATAAATGAAATCAATATTCAGTAGATCTGCCTTTTGCCGAAATTACAGCCTCTAAACACTTCCTGTAGGTTCCAGTGAGAGTCTGGATTGTGGTTGAAGGTACTTTGGACCATTCTTCTTTACAAAATATCTCTAGTTCATTCAGGTTTGATGGCTTCTGAGCATGGAAAGCTCTCTTTAACTCGCACCACAGGTTTTCAATAATATTCAGGTCTGGGGACTGAGATGGCCGTTCCAGAATGTTGTACTTGTTCCTCTGCATGAATGCTTTAGTGGATTTTGAGCAGTGTTTCGGGTCGTTGTCTAGTTGAAAGATCCAGCCCCGGCGCAGCTTCAGCTTTGTCACTGATTCCTGGACATTGGTCTCCAGAATCTGCTGATGCTGAGTGGAATCCATGTGTCCCTCAACTTTGACAAGATTCCCAGTCCCTGCACTGGCCACACAGCCCCACAGCTGATGGAAACACCACCATATTTTACTGTAGGTAACAGGTGTTTTTCTTGGAATGCTGTGTTCTTTTTCCTCCATGCATAACGCCCCTTGTTGTGCCCAAATAACTCAATTTTACTTTCATCAGCCCACAGCACCTTATTCCAGAATGAAGCTGGCTTGTCCAAATGTGCTTTAGCGGCACTGTTTGTCCTGTGGGCGGAGAAAAGGCTTCCTCTGCATCACTCTCGCATACAGCATCTCCTTGTGTAAAGTGCGTTGAACGATGCACAGTGACTCCATCTGCTGCAAGATGATGTTGTAGGTCTTTGGTGCTGGTCTGTGGGTCGACTCTGACTGTTCTCACCATTCGTCGCGTCTGAGATTTTTCGTGGTCTGTCACTTTGAGCCTTAACTTGAACTGAGCCTGTGGTCTTCCATTT